CTGTTCGTAAACTGAACTGTACTAGCTTCCGTAGAACACATGAAACATGCTACTTTTCATCGCAGGGTTCGAAATACGCTATTGTTCGTGGCAAACTGTGAAACGTACTCGCTATTGTGGCGAATGTCAAACATACTAGATATCGGTGAAAACGATAGAACGTGCTTCTTTTCGTGATAAATTGAAATGTGCTAGTCTTCGTAAGACAAATGAAACGTGCTTGTTTTCGTAGCGCAGGTCGATATAATCATCAAAGGAAACTTAAGTAAAATCGTGTATTGAATAAAGTAAATGTATCTTTGGAAGAACGGAATCCGCACTTACGTTTACTAAATTTCATGCAACACCCCTAATTTCCGTGTCTAATTCAGTGAGCTACGCGGGGATGCAATAACCTCGAAGATGTTACAGCTCCCGTGGCACATCGAGCTCGCGTCGTAGCATAAATTTCGTCGCGGCATTAAATACCACCCTCGAAGCCCGGGTACAAAGTTGCCGACTAGATCTGAGACCGTGTCATCCCCTGGATGCGCCCTACACTGGTCGTAACAAATAAGGACTCCGTGTAGGAGGATCTCGCAGCATCCTGGAATTCTGTCTTATCTCGTAAAGCCAGTCTTACACGAAATCCCATAGACGGCAGAATATTCGCGGGCGTCGTACGTCTGTCGATACATTAAAAGAAACCTCCTCGTTCTACATATAGACCCTTCTGCGAGGTCATTAATCACTGCCGAACATCTGCGATTTCTTTTTCTATGCAATGGAATTGTATTAGGAAAACATGAAAATATTTTCTTCGAGCAACTTCATCAGAATAACACACAAGGATTATTTACAAACTACAGTAAATCCTCGATGAATGTTCAAAGGCTCCTTGGCACTAACCAGGAGAGGACACTCAGGTGTAATACTGAGTTTTTAATGAGGTTTAGGGTACTGATAGAGCTTGGAATTCCGAAGCCGATGATATTTGTTTCAGACGGATATGGCCATTAGTTTATGAAATATTTAATATTCAGTGCCGAAAACCCTTCGAACACTCATAGAGGATTTGCTGTATTTTGAATCCTTCGAAGATCAGCAACAACGTTTGGGGACATTCTCAATAAACCATAGAGTTCCCGAAACTTCACTCCGGTTAAACGTCAGCCAGCGATTTAACTAGAATTGTAAAGCAATTCGAACAACAACTTGCTCTATGGAACTGAACTGTTCCAATTGTACTGCAGGTAGATTGTAGTGACAACTTTAATGGGTTCGGAAATGTGGTTAACATGAAGTACTCCTTATAAATAGGGTTTGTTTGTCGGTTCCTTAAATTAAGATGTGTTCCTGAGGAAACTAGTCGTTTAATGTTGTCTTGTGATTTTTCCTGAATTGAAAGTTTCATTAAACTAGCACCGTATCGAGTGCGTAATATTCCGTATGAGTTTTTTTCCGATTAGTTATACCAATGTGAGTCTACTGGAAACAACCCTGTATGAGTCGATTTAATACTCAGGCCCTTTGGTGGCTCGTCCGTTGTCGATCTAATCCCCTTAGCTGTTAAATTGTGGTCTTGAAACTTAGTAGAGTACCTCATAAGTTTAGCTACCTTGGGAAACGCATATCCTCTCTCATCCTTTAGTGAATTTCATCCTTTCTCCTTTGCTTCGTATTCTGTCCTCCAGGCGTAGTCATCGTTCATTTTATTACCGATAAATCTTGACCATTTTTCAGAACGACCGTCCTCCTTCCACATTACCTGATTTCTCCATTATACAAATTTCTGTGGGTAAAACATCTTCACGGATATCTTAAAAATTGCTCATATCTCTAAAACGTAATTATTCGTATGGAATCGTATACGTGTCATCGAACGTATTAAATATTCAATTACAGAATTTGCCGATTAGATGTATTCGTTAGCGGAACCATATAAGCTTACAAGCTCGAAATTAAAACAATTGAATCGTTCGAATGCTGAAGGGCAGCGAATAAAATGCAAAAAGAAGGAAGTCGTTAGGGAGTAAGTGCTTTTTTATATCTTCCTACGATGACATTCCGTATCCGCTCCCTTTACGTCAAGCCATTATATGTTCCATAAAGAAGAAGGGAAGTCGTACCTTCGATAATGAAAAATGAAATCCACTCTTTGCCCATTTTTTATAGCTGCAGAAGAGTATAGAACTCTTCTAATTTTATATTCCCAGGATTTTCCGACCCTTAAAAAATTCAGTCGTTCCGAGAAAGCTCGTTCGGACTGATCCCATCGAATTGGAACGATTTAATCAGGCTAAAATCGGCGGAAGTAATAAAATTCGTCGCGTTTGTACCCGCGGCGAGACACGTAAAGCACAATGTAAACAAGATCTTTGCAATTAAAGTAAAGTACTCCGAGGACAAAGTTGATCCCGAACGAGAAAAGTTCCGTCGAGCGTTGGCGATTCAGGTATCATTCCCGTGGCTGTCGAAAGTTACGAATATACCAATTTGCTCGGACGGAAACTTCGCAATTAAGTTCAGCCCAGAAAGGATCGTCTTCGAAACCTATCTGCTGATAGTACAATGATTAAAAACACATCCGAAGAAAACCATTTAACGTCGCCCGTTTCTTTCTCGTGTCTTCGATACTTTGCACAGTTTCACAATAAATCCAACCTTCCTACTTTTATTCTTTGCACAAGGTAACATCGTTTTTATAAACCGACAGGTACGAGTACATGAACCGGTAAAACAGAAAATCGATGTTTCATTAAACGTTCTTATCCATAACTTCTGCAAACAATAATACTATGGCTTCAACGTATCAGTTTTCTACCTCAGTATAGTCTGCCAGCACACACAATTAGATTTATTGCCTGACTTTTATGCAATCACTTCATTAAACAATTAAATCTCCTGTTATCAACCTACACAGGTCCCAGAACGTTTCTTTTCCCCTTCTATTTTTCATTTGGAACAAATCCCATTTTAAATTTACGAACGAAAGATTAAATACAAACTTTTTATTGTTAAAAAATAAAACTATAAGACAGTAGGGATTCGTTGAGTACTCTCTAGAAATATATCAAATTTATTCTGCAATATTCTACGTAACTTTCAAGAGCGAAAAGCGTAGGAAGATATTTTAAATGTCAACCCTGTTACCACTTTATTAATGAAAAATAGAGGATTATTCGTTAGTAAAGGTAATATATGCAGTACATTAAAATGTATAAATATGGAATAAATTTAAAATAAGTTTACTTTATGTTTCCGGAAGCTTATTAATAACCGTCGTGTACTTCGTTATTAGAGGGATTCTGTCTGTCCTATCGTAAGATGTCCCATAAAGATACGAACATGTTTATACGACGTCTGTTTTTCCTCGGCGACGTGAAATTGATATCGGTATTATCCGACTGCGGCATCGAATCCGCTCGAGGCACTGCTTCCGTCTCGAAATGGGATTTTGATAGTGACTGGTCGTGAGGTATCAACCCTCATCATAGGAATAATTTCCTCGTCGTATCTGTATCGCGTTCGATATACCTTGCACGTTAGGGTGCGATACGTTATCGTCAGCTTCCATGCCATGTGCTTCGCTATCTCTGTCATCTTCCTTCTTAATACCAAGACACAACATCTAAAGAGTAATTCTGTCTATTAATTACAGAAATATAAAATTAATTTCTTGAGATTCCACATATAGGTAATTCGTATTATTTCCTCTGTTAGTTGTTTCAGACAGCAGACTGATCCTTGAAGATGTGCTGTAATTCTATCTTGTGATTTCACTGTTGCTGTCTTTAAGTTCCATCAGTTTCAATATAGCTTCTTATTATTACATAGGATTCTAATCCTGATGAAATATTTTACGGTCTCAAGCCATCAGCCGTTTGAAACAAAAATAATTACAAGAAGTTTAATAATGTGTCATTTTGTTTGCATAAAATTTCCCACGCGTATTCATACGTGTGGCATAACGAATGCTGCGTTGGATCAACTGGCAACTCACGGTCACAAAGCACAATGTGCTCCATGACGCCTATATTGCCGCCATAAATCTAACAAGGCGGTTGAACATTAACCGAGCGGCCGCCACCTACACTTCCGACAGTGGTCCACCTCCAGGTTCGATAAAATAGCTGTCTACACAGTTTGCGATATTATTTACACCGATTTAATGAATCGTAACAGAATTACGAGCTTCCGGGCGAAATCGTGCGTTTCTCTGAAAAAAAGGGGCTGGTACCCACAATTACGAGATAATTCAAGTGACAATGCGTCATAAAATTGTTAAGTTCGCATTATTCTTTTCTATTAACCCATAGACTTTTTCCCACATTATACTAATTTTGGTGTATTATCTTCGTGGTGTTATGGTAACTTTCGATACAGGATTTATTACATATATTTCAAAAAATGATTTCTGTCCCCAGCGATTCAGATCTGTGAAATAAAACAATACCGCAGCTGCATTCGATCGAAATTTATCCGTCGACAACGTTATCGTCCATTTTTCTTGGTTTTTTTCATGGAAGCAATCACGCGAATGGTCATAGACGAAATATCCGGTTATAAATCTCGTCGATGCAGGGATGAGGATGGTAGAGTGGAAAATTGGACGGTGATGTGGTCAGTTCACAGGTGGATTCCGCGCTGGTCCTTTCTCCCATTGCAAATAAAGCACGTTGCCGGACATTTCGCATGAACGTCCCGTAAATATTTTTTCCGAAAAATACGTCGAATCGTACAGTTCTCTGTAAAACGCTTTGTATTATAGTAAAAAAAAAAACGGTTCCGCGCTTTCCCGAAGATTTTTTCCTCTCCTTTACGTGTTTCACGATAAAAACACAAGGTGGACACTCGAACACAAGCATAATCATACATTCTTTTAGGTATACGTAATGAACGAGAACTCTGTTTTAACTGGAAAGTAGGGAAGCTTGTTCTTCGGATGAATTTTTAATACTTCCATTTCGCCCTTTGTCGCGCGTTGCACTTCGAGCTCATATTGTTTTCTTTTGTTGCAGAGTCACGACAGCTGGCAAGGACACGACGGCGACCAGGTGAGCATTCACAGCTTACGTTTGCTGACACCGCTTTGCTTTCCGTTCTAAGCATGTCTCCTTTATTCTTTCCTCTTTTTATTTCTGACGTCATGCGCTTCAATTATAGCACCGTGTCTCGCTGTGGGTATTCAGTTCTTAGATCGCCTGATTCCGATCTCGTCTCGATAAACCACCCAATTAGCATTACCGACCAATGAATAAATTCTAACAGCTTCGTATAGTATCTAATAGTTCCTCGTGTTACAAGCTTTATCAATGATTGATTCATTATTTTTTTAAATTCCGCATTTATTCCCAATAGAATAAGAAACACATGATCTTTTAATAGTCATCATTGTAGTCCAATATCCCACGCTATTTTTACGAAGCATAGAAATGTTTATTCAATTGCATCTCGTCAAGAAATTAATGGATCACTCACTGATACATCTAACGCTTAACAGAATTTTGTAGTTTGAAATCGTCTGATGCATGCGTGTGTGTGTATAGTGTACACCTGAATTACCAGTGGAATTACGTGAATATTGGTTCTGCTCCCAGAAGCCATTTATCGATGGTTCGAGAAACCTATTTAGCCGATCCAAAATACGAAAATGTATTTTCCTACGAAGATCGTGCGTACTATATCACGCTGCGTTCCCGCCGGTATTGGCAGAGGTTACACAGAGACGATCAAACGAGAGAAACGCGGCGGCCGGGGGCAGTGGTAGCGAAAGAGTGTTGCGGGGGCGCGAGAGCAATTTGGACGACAGTGATGCATGCGATTCGAGTTCTTACCGTCTGGTTACGCGGTTGCAACTCGCACGGTATCTCTTCGTTATTAAGGGCGTGCGGTTTAATGACGCGATCTTCTCCCAACGACCGGGGCATCAAGGTTGCAACGTTCCTCGTTAAGTACTAGCGATTAGTCGGTGGTGCTGCGCCAGCGCCTTGCGAAAATATTTACCAGACCGCGAAATCTCTCTTGTAATGCCCCCTGTGCATTAATCGATGCGCCCCCGGGCACTGTCAGAGTTCACGGCGCATTTATAATGCATCCATATTTTTGTTTCGTACAGTGGCGATGAGACATCTTCTGAACCGAATGGGTTCATCGTGTGCGTTAAAATGATGCGATAATACCGATCAGTGTACAGGATTGTATAACAGTAATACCACGAATATATCGCAGCATTGTCACAAAAGCGATACAACGCAAGAATATTAACACTAGAACTACCAAGCAAGTCAAAATGACTTGTCAATACACTTTTACAACGACGATTAAAATGTTATGACAATACATTTTCTCAGATCTTTTGCACCTTTTATTACGATATGAAAGTGAAGAAATTAGTTTATCTTTAAATTTCTAAATTTTCACAAATTTTTCACGTTTATCCACCGATCGAAGGAAATATGCGTTTATCGTCGGTAGTTCTAGTGTCAATTTCATAAAAAATTCGGAAGACTGTCACAGATCATAGTCTCACTCTGAACGGTAAGAGCGACATAGCTGCTCTCTGTCAGGTAACTTATGAGGCTAACAGATTACACTTGTGATGATTGGTCGAACATAGTGTCTGCAATTTTCTTGTAGTAATCACTATGAAGACCCCGTTTCTTGAGTCGTGTCACCTTTTGTAGCAAGGGTGCGATATGTCCATAGGGAAAAAGAATGTTCTTACTATTATAGTATTTCGTCATCGTCAGTGATTAACGTAGTTTTCATCGACAAACACTTTGATTCATCTTATCATCAATTATCTCAGTAAAAATATAGTTCAAACACTGACTCTTTCGTCGTATGCATTCCTGAAATATTTGCAATGTGGAATTGAAAAATATATGAGAAGCAAAAGGTTTTTAGGCTTACATTTAATAGAACTTTCATACTTGGCCTCAAGATATAAAATAGACTTGTGAACTTTTTGACGCTACTTTTAGATCACCTGGTGCTTCAATGGAGAAGTTGTAATGATCCTCATAAGAAGTGGCGAACGAAACGTGAAGCTACGCTCGTTAAATCGTCAAATTGGAATTGTCCCGGGGTATGTCGACAGTTCGATAAGTCGTGAGGCACATAATTTGCTACCTGGGAATCGACTTTTTCAAAGGGGGTAGTAGACAGGGAGCCCGTAAAAATTCCTGGGAATAGGCAAAAATACAGGAACATTTCCGCGAGACGAAGCGTCGCTTGGTAATTCAGGCCGCTTGTGGAACGCTTTTTACGAGGAAAGAAAGACGGTGGAGGCACTTAACAATGAAGGCTGGTTGAATGAGATTTAGTGTACCGTCTAATCGGGTTTACTCTCGCCTTAGGGCTCTGTCCCCCGCTGATACGCCAATACAGGCTCCGACTACAAGAGTGGAAGGAATGAACGGGGCGATGGTGTGGGGTAAAGAGTAAAAGGACGGAAACTGAGGAAAACTGCGGAACCAAGTGGTTACGGAACGCGCGCCGTGAATTTAAAAAGATTCGTTAAACCTTGATACCGCTATAGACTCCCTATCCCGTGGAACTCTTTGTTAAGAAGTTCGACTACTCCCCCATTTTAGTAATGCCCCGGTCGGGATTTATCTCGGTAAGAAGATTTGCGCACCGGTGTCGTTACGTCGAAGTGAACAAGCGACTAATCGATCTTATCAGTCGGATCGGTGATGCTTGAATAATAAATCGCTCGTAAACAATCATTTGATGTACTAGTGAGTAGGCCACTGTTGCTTCTAATTATGAGACGATACATTTTAAATTAAAAGTATCTGCAGGATTGTTCAGTGGGTAAAATTGGTCTTACAAAAAATTTGGTTGAAGAATGATTATGAATATAAGTGAAAATGCCCTTATAGATTCTTGACTTCCATAGAAATAAATATTGATTTCGTCAAGAAATAGTTGATGACTTATTGGTGCACTGATGATTTTATGTGACGAAAATCGAAAGTTGATTTAATAAAGATTTCTATTTATTGTTAGAAGCAACGATATCGTCCCAAGAATTTCAATATTCAAAATCTTCGTATCGTTCGAGAGCGTTTCGAAGAGTCGAGATTCGGTCGATGGTTCTCGCCATAGACACTCGAACGAACTATGTATACCGTTTCTCTATTGTGTCCTCCCTGGAGAGGTTCTGTTTCATCTTCCGTCTTCTTGTTTCGAATATCCACAATACGTCACCCACTACGCCGTCTCCTCCTGACGGTTTTTGTTCTCTTTGTAACGACACGAGGCGGATCACTCTTCCTCCGGCTTTGTTCACAGCGAACAATTTTGTGCCAAGATTCTTTCCAACCCGTGAAGACTCTCTTCAACCGAATCCTTCAGTCAAGGGTTTTTTTGCGCGTGTGAAACTACACCGTCTCGTTTGTATAAAACTTTCATAAATGCATGTTCCCCAAAATGCACGAATATATCTCTAAAGATATGGAAAAATGTCAACTTTATACGAAACAAAAAGAAACAAACAAAATTTTTCTCGAAATATAAACAGAAAATAAGTTCAGTGTAGAGATTCCGTGTTATTATTTTAATTATTTCCTGTTAATAAAGTCTGCGACATTAAAACAGTTTCAATTGGACAACAAGAATAGATAAAGTAGATGTGTTCAAATTTTACGAAACATTATACAGGATGTCCCAAAATAGTTGTAAGTCCTTGAAACGGGTGATTCCTGCGGTGATTTGAAACAACTTCTTCGCTAAAGAAATCACCCCAGGAAACACCTCTTTCAAGGACTTCTAACTATACCATTCTTACTATACCATTTATAAAAACTGACTACATTCTCTAGAAGCTTTTCCAAAGAAAGGGGGGAAGTCATTACGTCACACTAATATTTTCCTGTTGTCTCCTTTCTTGTTTCGGCGGTGGTCTTTTGGGAAATCTTGTCACGTGGATCTCCAATAATTTCCTTGTCCAACGGAGGAAAGGAGGTCCGCTAAAGGCACGGCCGTTGGTGAAATACTGGCGTCGAACAAAATCTCGCCGCGATTTGCGGACGTGAGCTCTCGCGGGAATTGTACACGCGCGTGCAGATCGGATTGCCGCGCCCGGGCTTCGGCGAATTCGGATGAAATCGCCTTGGCGAAGATTTATGCGATGCACCGTGGACAAATCTGAACGCGTTGTCCGAGACGTCAACTGTTTCCGTAATAACGTACGAAGGAAATACGCGATACACGAGGTACCATTGTTCGAGAAGTCGAATAAGAAATTTTTTGGCTTCAGAAACTCCAAAGAACGTACGCTTTCGTGTTATATGGAATGAGAAAACAAGATTCCGTATATTAATTAAGTTGATAAGAAGCTGGCGTCTCTTCTTGTAGCATTCCAGTTCGTTCCACCAAGGAGGAACTTTCTTCGTACAATTCTCCTTCTCCGTCTCCGTGTAAATGTTTACGAAGAATTTTACTCAACGAAGAGTGCTTCAAACATCAGAGCACCCTCCGCGAGAGTGAATTTAATTGCCAAATAGTCTCGGGGAAACGAAACGTTTGCCGAACGATCACCGAGGCGGTTCCGTTCACCGTCGTAATAAGGTTTGCCGTTCGTCAGGCGCCAAGGTATTTTTATTCCATCGGTGTATAATGTATATGTATATATTTTTATTTCTCACTTTGTTATCTACGAACCGTTGTCTCTGTTTCACTTTTTTTTCGATGGTTAAACACGTTTAATCTTAACAGCGTGGTGTATCCCCTGGGAACAAAACTATAGTTTCGGGGCTTTAAAGGGTTCGCTTTTAAATACATTTTCATTGCGGGCTTTCTTGTTGTTCAAAGGGGACACTTGGTCCGTTTTGAAGGTATTAAAAACCTCGAAAACCCCTTCACCCGCAATGTTTCGTAGTAACTAACACGGGAAGCAGGGCTTGGTGCCAATTACCTTAACTCACCCCTCCACCACCTACCACACACCCTTCCGGCTTTATCACCGCTTTCTTTCCCTCTCGTTCTCTCTGCCTATCCTCCACTCGTACACGCATTTCGCTCTACACTTGTCTCTTTTCTCCTTCTC